TTTTACTACTTATCATTTTTTCCAAATCACTCCAAAAGTACTTTTTTTAAGCAGAATTTGTTGCAAACACTCCCTAAGTCTAAGATAACATAACTAGAATCGATTCAACACTAGACCTTTAAAACTGTATGAGAAATATTCAAGCCTAGCGAAGAAAATGGGTTAAAAACGAGTATAGCACCTGTGCATACGCACATGAACGAATAGTTGATGGCTTGTTGCATATATTTTGCTCATGATATAAATAAATATTAAAATGAAATCACTTCTTAGGATTTTATATTTTTCTGAAATAGGAGTACAATGACTTAGTCAGTACTATAAAATATAAGCTCATGCAATAAATATTAAATGAAGAGAATATTAGGGGAAATTAATTGACACCGCTCATTAGAATTTGCTATTTATAAATTTTTGTCATTAAATTAATTTTAAAATTTAACATTAATCTAAAAAAGTTCCTTTAAAAAAACCATTATTCTAAAAAAAAATTAGTACAATAAGTGAGTGCCATAAAGTTTAAGTCAATACAATAAATATCAAAAGCAACAAATATTAGTTAAATAAGAACTTTGATGATACATGTTTTCAACAATCAAACAATACAATAGAGAAGAAACAAATATATTTTTGGTTCAATACCACAAAAATGTTGAAATTTCATACAGGGTACGAAACAGGCTTATCAGCGCCTCCTCTTCATTTTTACGATAGGCCCCTCGGCCATATATGCATCGTCATCTTTATTTGATGATGTGGTGCTCTCATACAGGCCCTTAGGCCATACATCGCCTCATCATCTTTATTTGATGACGCGGAGCTATCATACAGACCTCTCGGTCATAGATCGCCCTATCATTTATATTTGATGACGTTGAACTCTCACAAATTTCCCTAATCCATACATCGCCCCGTCATCTTTATTTGGTGTCGTGGAGCTCTCGTACAGGTCCCTCAGCCATATATCTCTAGTCATCTTTAATTAATGGCCCGAACATCGCACTATGGACAGTCGCTTGATCTATCTCCTAGTCATCTTTATTTGATGACTATGACTATGTATCATGCCTAGCTACACACATACGAAGATCGATCTCGGCCATCCCCTCAGCAAATGGCGACCGTTGTAGCTCCAGCCTAGGCAGCAAAACTCACTATTTTGCTTCATTTTGGGGTATCCGGTGTACTCTTTCCCCCCTTGTTATGATTTTGTCCCTATTAAATAGTGATGCATTTATCTAGAATATTCTATGTAGAAAAGGCTAGAGATGTTCTAGAGAAATATAGCTACAACTCCTACAAGTATTCTAGAGAATTCTCCACTAGAGAATTCTTATGTAAAATCTAGATTAATTAGACATAGTTGTAAAATACTCTAGAATCATAGCATTTAATAAGGATCTAGAATGATCCTCTAGCACCTATAAATAGGACTCATTGTACTCATTTGCTCACCAAGCAAAACCAAGCAACATCAATAAAATACAAGTTTTCTAGAGACAAGAGCTCTACTCTAAAACACCTCCTCTATACTACACCTTACTAAAATCACTTAACATATTCATACACCCAACAACCTCTTCAATTTTCTAACAAGTGGTATCAGAGCATGTTCGATCACAAGCGGGCGTTATGGCGACATCAAGCTTCTCGGTATCGACTCCGATGTTCAACGGAGAAAGCTACGACTATTGGAGTGTCCGTATGAAGACTTGCCTAGAATCACATGATCTTTGGGATATTGTTGAAGAAGGAATCATCACTCCGGAAAAAGGAAGCGACGACGCATCAACTTCCGAGGTATGTAAGAAACAAAAGAAGCAAAATGCTAGAGCTATCTATCTTCTTCAACAATCTGTTGGTGATACCATTTTCCCGAGAATAATTCGTGCTACTACGGCAAAAGAAGCTTGGGATATTCTTAAGGAGGAATTTCAAGGAAATGAGAAAGTTAGAACTATTAAATTACAAAGTTTAAGAAGAGAGTTCGAAAATTTGAAGATGAGAGATTCTGAAATGGCAAAAGATTATTTCTCTCGGGTTATACATATAGTCAACGAAATGAGAACTCTTGGAGAAAACATAACCGACGATAAAATAATCCAAAAGGTCTTATACTCTTAATCAGTCTCCCTGAAAAATATGACCCAGTAGTTTCGGCTATTGAGGAGTCAAAAGATCTATCAAAAATGTCCATCACTGAATTAATGGGGTCGCTAGAAGCACGTGAGCACAGGCTGAACAGAAGACATGAAAGTTCATTAGAAAGTGCCTTCCAATCTAAGCTCAACATTAAAAGGAATGACTCAAGAAATGGTGGAAACTTTAAATCTCATAAAGATGGGAATTCTAACAACAAGGAGAGGAAGACAAACTTTCCACCATGCAAAATATGCAAGAAGACTAACCACTTAGAGAAAGATTGCTACCATCGAGGAAAGCCACAATGCAAAAATTGCAAGAGGTTCGGGCATGAAGAAAAAGATTGCAGAGATAGAAGAAATCATCAGGCCAACTATTCCGAAGATTTCAAGGAGAAGGAGTACGTGTTATATGCATGTCACTCCACAATCGAAGCGAAAGAAGAAGAGTGGTACATCGATAGCGGGTGCAGCAACCACATGACATCTAACGAGACCATCTTCCATGAGTTGGATACTTCTATCAAGACAAAGGTCAAGATAGGCAATGGCGAATTGGTGGAGGCAGAAGGGAAAGGTACCATTGTCATAGATACAAAGAAAGGTACGCGCTATATTAGAAACGTTCTCCTAGTGCCACGCCTTGTACAAAATCTACTAAGTGTTGGCCAAATGATGGAAAGTGGATATGCCCTGCATTTTGAGAAAAATTCTTGCCGAATTTATTACAAGAAAAATAACCAAGAAATTGCCGAAGTAAAAATGGGAAATAATAGAAACTTTCCCATTCAATGGCAATATCCACAAAAGGCAATGGTGGCTCAACTGAGTGATACGAGTCTATGGCATCGAAGATTTGGGCACTTCAATCTCAATGCCTTGAGATTACTACACCAAAAGAAGATGATGAGAGACATGCCACTATTGGATGAAAAATAAGGAGTATGTGAAGGATGTATGATTGGGAAGCAGCACAGGCAGCCATTTCCAACAGAAAAAACATGGAGAGCCAAACAAATACTAGAGCTTGTCCACACTGATGTGTGCGGCCCAATGCGCACGCCTTCAGTTTCCAAGAACAGGTACTTCATACTCTTCATCGATGATTACTCAATGATGACATGGGTGTATTTTTTCCAAGAAAAATCCGAAGTTTTTAGAATATTCAAGAGATTCAAGAACTTCGTGGAGAAACAGAGTGGTCATCAAATAAAGAAGTTGAGAAGCGACCGAGGTACCGAATACAACTCAAAAGAATTTGACCAGTTCTGTGAAGATGAAGGCATGGAGCATCAACTAACAGTAGCATACACTCCACAACAAAATGGGGTATCCGAAAGGAAGAACCGCACAGTCATGGAGATGGCAAGGTCTATGTTAGCTGAAAAAGGAATGCCTAAAATGTTCTGGGCAGAAGCAGTATATACTTCACTCTACCTTCTAAACCGATGTCCAACTAAGGCGGTTTTAAACAAAACACCTATTGAGGCATGGTCGGGACAAAAGCCTTCAGCCAAACATTTGAAGGTCTTCGGAAGCATATGTTACATTCATGTTCCCTCTGTGAAAAGGCACAAATTAGAAGACAAGACAGAGAAGGGCATCTTCCTCGGCTACAGCTCCAAATCCAAGGGATATAGAATCTACAATCTCGAGACTAAGAAGCTGGTCACAAGTCGAGATGTGGAGTTTGACGAGCAAGCCTCTTGGAATTGGGAGACGGAAAGAGTTGAAAGAAAGACAACTACTACTAGGGATGGCAAAAAAACCTGACCCGAGCCGCCCCGCCCCGCCCCGCCCCGTTTTGAGCGGGTCCGCCCCGCCCCGTAATTAAAACGGGTCGGGTCCGCCCCGCCCCGTGCTTTATTCAGGCCGGGTCTGGGTATTAGTTAAGCCCCGTCCTGCCCCGACCCGCCCCGCCCCGCCCCGCTCATGTATTAGGTAAACACCGTATATTTCTTAGGCTTGTTGTTTGGGAATATGTTCATCACACTTAATAGCTCAACATAGTAGACATCAAAGGTCCAGCCGATTCTTCTCCTCGCATTAAAGAGTCCGGCGTAGTAGTCTAGTAGACACCAAAGTTTCTTCGCCGATCGATGCACAAATCAATGAACCTAATTATAAATAACACCCCAAAGAGAGGGATCGACTTTCACTTTCTGGTTGTGCAATTTCTGCAAATTAGCCAAAACTACAGAGAGATACTTGAGGGGTTGAGGGAACGAATTAGTGTCTGTCTGAGTGGGGATAGTCCGGATAGGCGGATACTTGCTGTAGCACCGCAAGTCTGGAAGAGGCAGCACTCTAAGTCTCCAAGTCTGCAACAGACCACTCCACGAACATAGTAAGTAAAGTTAATAGATGATTTGTCTTTACTTCTTGTTTAATAATCTGAATCTCAAATAGAAATTTCTGTATGTTTGAGTTTAACTTTCAATTTATTGTGTTTACTTCTTGTTAAGAGATGATTTGTGTTTAATCTGAATCTCTAATACAGGTGTATAATTTTCAATTAAAAATTAATAATCTTAATTTGAGTTTAAGATATCTGTAATTTCTTGCCTTGTTGTTTTGAATAATTCATTTCTTAAAAGCATATTTTTGGCTTCATAACTATTAATCTCATAATCTGTGTGTGTAACTACAGTTGCCTTCCATGAGGGATTTTTTATTGATCATATAAATTTGAGTTATTGCCTTTCACATCCATTTTTTACAATAATGACTGAACGACTGAACCAAAGCTTTGATCAGACCTCATAATCTTTAGAATTAAATTAATTCGTTATATTAATTGCAGAATGATAGATCTGTTTTGTAAAACTTTAACATGATTTAGATTAAATTGCTTTTGTAGATCTTTAATCAATGGAGGCTGAAGGAAGCTCAATACCTACCACCCCAATAACAGATGTGTCACTAGATGAGACACCCAATTCATCACCTAATCCGCTTGTTGATGGAGGTGATTTACCTGTTGATGACGTACCTGTAGAGGTTAATGTTGAGGGTGAAGAGACAGTAGACACTGATGTAACTGATGCAGCAAAACTAAAGAGTCTAAAATCAAAGATTTGGCAACACTATGAGAGAGAGACTATCGGTGAAAAGCTCAAAGCAAGGTGCAAGTATTGCCGGTCACTCTTGTTGGGTGATCCCAAGCAAGGTACTAGTCACTTGCGTAAACATTACCAAAGGTGCAACAAACGGAAGACCAAAGATATAAGACAACAACTTTTGCAAGTAAGCAACAAGAACAAGTTTGAACTTTCACCGTTCAGTTTTGATCGAGAACTTTCTCGTATGGAGCTTGCGAGGATGATCATTCTGCACGGCTACCCTCTAAAGATGGTGGAGCATATTGGGTTCAGGAATTTTGTGAACAGCTTAAACCCTTGCTTTAAAATGGTAAGCAGGAATACTATTAAGAAGGACTGCTTCAAGATATATGAGATTGAAAAGAAGGCCATGATGGACATCATTGAAAAGAATGATGGGAGGGTTGCTGTGACAACAGATATGTGGACGTCAGATTTTCAGCAAAAGGGCTTCATGGTTGTTACTGCACACTACATTGACAATACTTGGAGGTTGCAAAGTCGGGTCATCAGGTAATAATTTGAAATGTTAAAAGAACACTTTTTTAGATTCTCAATTTCTTTATGAAACTATACTCTATCATTCTTTATGTAAATTTTAGTTATGAACTATTTCAAATCTTAAAAGATGAGAACTTTTTTCAGTTAGCACTCGTTCGAATACTCTGATATTTATTGTGTAACCATATATTCTCTGAGTTATGAAATGATGTAAATTCTGCTTATTTGAGTTCTGATTTTTTACTATCTCAATTGGTAATATGAATGATGTAATCTTAGATTATTTTGAAACCATACTAGCTACTTGAGTTCTAAATTTTAACTATATGAATTTGTAATGTGAATGATGTAATCTGAAATTATTGTGAAACCATACTACCTATTTTTGTTCTGCATTTTAACTATCTGAATGTTAGTGTGAAACCATATTATTTGAGTTTTGAATGATGTGTAATCTGGTTAGAAACTGTTAACACCCTCATGATGTGCTTTCTTTCAATTAACATTCTTTTTAATATCATGAAGTTCGTCAAACTCTTTCAGTATTGAATCTGGTTCTAAACTTTTAATAATGTCAACTTATAATGAAACCATACTTTCAGGTTCATGTATGTGCCAAGTCCACATACAGGTGAAGCTCTTTCTGAAGCTTTATATGGTTGTTTGCTGGATTGGAATATAGACAACAAATTATCCACTATAACGGTGGATAATTGTTCCACAAATGATGTCCTGGTTGACTTGATCAAAGGAAAGATTCCTTCATATTCTATGTTGCTTGGTGGAAACTTACTCCACATGCGTTGTTGTGCGCATATTTTGAACCTCATTGTGAAAGATGGCTTGGATCTTATTCATGGTGCAGTGGAGAAAGTGAGAGACAGTGTTTCTTATTGGAAGGGGACTCCAAAGAGATGGGAGAAGTTTGAGGACACTGCTCGTCAACTTCGCATTCCGTTAGGTAAAAAGCTCACCCTCGATTGTAAGACACGTTGGAACTCTACTTACACAATGTTGGATGTCGCTTTGGAATACAAAGATGTGTTTTCCCGCTTAAAGAATCGTGATCAAAAGTATAAGTCGCTGCCTAGTGAAAATGAGTGGAGCTTGTGCAAAGAAATTTGCAGTAGGTTGAAATTGTTTTACAATGCAACTGGTCTTTTCTCAGGAACTTTATACCCCACTGCAAATATGTTTTTCCCAACTGTTTGTGAGATCAAACTAGCTTTAAGCCAGTGGACTGTTTGTGGTATACCAACTGTGCAACTTATGGCTTCTAAAATGATTTTGAAATTTGACAAATATTGGTCTGATGTGAATGGGATCATGGGTGTTGCTGCTATTCTTGATCCTAGGTATAAGCTGTTAATGTTAGAGTACTATTTTGGGAAAATATACTCTATCACTTTTGAGTTTGAGGTTGAAAAAATTGTTGATTTTTGTCGGGAGTTGGTTAAGCAATATGAAGAGCAAGAAAAGGCACACAAAACTGATAAGGTGGGCTGTCAAACAGAGAGTGCTGTAGGTGAAAGTATTTGTTTGAGTGACTTTGACTTGTATGCATCTCAAAGAAAAAGAGCTAGTACACGGTCAGAACTGGACCAGTACTTAGAGGATGATATCCTACCCCGCTCGACTGATTTTGATGTGTTAAGCTGGTTGAAGTCGAACAAGAGTAAGTATCCTATTCTAAGTCAAATTGCAAGAGATATTTTGGCCATCCCTCTTTCTACCGTTGCTTCAGAGTCCGCATTTAGCACCAGTGGACAGTTGATCGGTCCTCATCGTAGTCGACTCAAAGAAGAAACCATTGAGGCCTTGATGTGCGCACAAAGTTGGATTCTTGCTGACTTAAAAGGTAATTTAATTATTAATGGATATATAGTAATTTTTGTACTTTATCCTAATACTGTGCATTTGTTTCTTTTACTAGAAAAAGGAGGTGGATCACTTTCATCGGTGTTTTATGATTCAGACTGTGACATCGATGAAGGACATGTTAGTCAGGTATCTTTAAACTGTTATTAACTGTTGAATTAATATCATAACATGAATTATTTATATCATGAAGCAGTTATTGGTCTAAAGTTTTATTTATATTTTACTGTAGGGTTAATGAAGATGGAGATCTGAAATTCAAGTATGAAATGAAGTTATGAAGGACTTTGCTGGACTGAAGTTTGAGCTGAAAAAATCAAATATTAATGCTTTCTGGAAGCAATTGTTTTGCTATTGTCATTTCTGGTGTTTTTTTATTAACAAACTTCCTCTACTTTTATTGTCTTTTGAGGCTTTTGTTTTTGAAGCTACGACTCTTTTAAACTGATGTTTGGTGATTTTGATGCACTATTGGCATGTGCAAAACTATTTTGCTTGAGTTGCTTTATTTTATATGATCATTTGTTTAATGAATTACTTATGATTAAGTTGTTATGTGATGAAACAACTCTCACAAGCTACTGTGAGTCTGTGACCACGTTTTATTAGCTTGTGTATTTTCAAAAATAAAAAAATTGCATATAAAGTGGGTCGGGTCGGGTCGGACCCGGCCCGCACGGGGCAGGTCACGGGCAACCATATCATGGCCCGTTGCGGGTCGCGGGGCAGGTCGGGTCCACGGGTCAGAGGTACGGGCCAGGTCTGGGTTTTGTACTACCCGCCCCGCCCCGACCCATTGCCATGCCTAACTACTACCCAACTAGAGGAAATTCCAGAAGAGGAAGATCATGATCAACAGAACCCCACATCTACTCCAAGGTCCTCTTCCGAAACCAATACATCAAACGGGCTTGACTCCTCACCAAAATCTCCACCCCTTCGGGTAAGAACTCTAGTAGACATATATGAGTCTACTGGCATCTATGAAACATGCAACTTTTGTTCCTTGGAGCCACATAGCTACACTGAAGCCTCCAAAGAAAAAGTTTGGATTAAAGCAATGGAGGAGGAGATCAAAATGATAGAAAAGAATGATACTTGGGAAATGGTTGATCTTCCGCATAACAAGGAAGTTATTGGAGTCAAATGGGTGTACAAAACGAAGTTGAACCCTGATGGACCAATTCAAAAGCATAAGGCAAGGCTGGTCGCAAAGGGGTATGCTCAAATACCAGGAGTTGACTACACGGAGACGTTTGCACCAGTTGCTCGGATGGACACAATAAGAACACTCATAGCTCTTGCAGCTCAGAAGAAATGGGAAATTTATCAGCTAGACGTCAAGTCAGCCTTTCTAAATGGAGAACTAAGAGAAGAAGTATATGTGGATCAACCGGAAGGATTCATCAAAGAAGAAGGAAAAGTTTTCCGTCTAAAGAAAGCGCTTTACGGGCTCAAACAAGCTCCACGAGCCTGGTATAGCAAGATTGATGGATACTTCACCCGTCAAGGGTTTAGGAGGAGTAAGAATGAGGCTACATTATACATCAAATCCCAAGGTAAATCTGACATTCTCATCGTCTCTCTATATGTTGATGACTTAATTGTCACGGGAAATAATCCCAAATTAATTGAAGAATTTAAGAGAGACATGATGAACACTTTTGAGATGAGTGACTTGGGATTAATGCACTACTTCCTTGGCATGGAGATAAGTCAAGAAGAAGAAGGCATATTCTTATCTCAAGGAAAATATATTAAGGACATGCTAAAGAAGTTTAAAATGCAAGACTGCAAAGCCGTCGTTACTCCACTGGTTCCTAATGAAAAATTGAAGAAAGAAGATGGGTCAAAACAGAAGGACGCTACCAATTACCGAAGTCTGATTGGGAGTCTACTCTACTTAACGGCTACGAGGCCGGACATCATGTATGCAACAAGCTTGCTCTCGAGGTTCATGGAAAGTCCAACTGAGACTCATTATGGAGCGGCAAAGAGACTCCTTAGGTACCTACAAGGAACCGTCAATTATGGTATTTGGTACAAAAAAAGTCCTGAATCGCGACTAAGTGGATAAAGCGACAGTGATTGGGCTGGATCTCAAGATGACATGAAAAGCACCTCCGGTTACGCATTTAAGCTGGGTTCGGGAATTTTCTCATGGGGATCAAAGAAGCAAGATTCTGTTGCACTGTCTTCAGCCGAAGCCGAGTATGTTGCAACATCCGGAGCAGCGTGCCAAGCTATATGTCTTAAAAGAATATTAGAAGATATGGGAGAATCGCAAACCTCTGCGGCAGAGATCTTTTGTGACAACAAGTCAGCTATTGCGATGGCTAAAAATCCAGTTCAACACAATCGCACTAAGCACATCGATATTAAGTATCACTTCTTGAGAGATGTTCAAGCAAAGGGACAAATTGAGATGAAGTACTGCCCAACAGAAGAACAATTGGCAGATATTTTCACGAAGGCTCTGCCAAGAGACAGGTTCCAGTTTCTGCGAAGAATGCTTGGATTCACCGATAAATGCATCAAGGAGGAGTATTAAATAGTGATGCATTTATCTAGAATATTCTATGTAGAAAAGGCTAGAGATGTTCTAGAGAAATATAGCTACAAGTATTCTAGAGAATTCTCCACTAGAGAATTCTTATGTAAAATCTAGATTAATTAGACATAGTTGTAGAATACTCTAGAATCATAGCATTTAATAAGGATCTAGAATGATCCTCTAGCACCTATAAATAGGACTCATTGTACTCATTTGCTCACCAAACAAAACCAAGCAACATCAATAAAATACAAGTTTTCTAGAGACAAGAGCTCTACTCTAAAACACCTCCTCTATACTACACCTTACTAAAATCACTTAACATATTCATACACCCAACAACCTCTTCTATTTTCTAACAGTCCCACATGAATTTTTCCTGGTGAGGTTTTTAACGAGGCATCTCCCCATTATAGATAAAAGGTGTTGACCCTTGACCCCTTATTAGAGACATCACGAGACATGCAATACTCTACTCTTCTTCACCTCACTACATTCGCCTCAAGGAGTGAGGAACTTGATGAGCGGGGGACTTGGCGCTTCCGTTAATCGAAGAAACACAAATTCAAATTTTTCTCGAGGTTTGCCACATGCACTGACGACATCATCACATCACATGCAAATTCAGTTGCCACAACAACAAATACATACACATTGCCCTTCGGCCCCAAGACCATTTGTGACGGTCTTTGGGATGCGACCTTCAACTGAGGATTCTCCCACGGGGTTGCCTCAATTTGGGCTCGCCAATGGGATCACATCAGTGGCATGGGAACCAGGGCGAGGTGCCTCGACGATGTCAAAGTTTACTTACTAGACAATGACAGATCAGCACACAGCTCTTTACTCTCTTGCGCCTCGAGTACTCACGACTCAGGGAGTGGGGGCTGAGGGCTCCTGATAGAGTATATAGACTTGGACCCCCAAGTCTCACAACTATTGGGCCCGGACAGCGGTCCACATGCGCTTAATAGATAGCATTTACATTGTTGTACACTCCATTTATTCTTGTATACCCATTAGAATAGATTAAATGTCATTTATTGGCATTTTATTGTAGTTGAGTCTGCCAGGCCCAAGCTTGGAAGCCCAACCCACTTTTCTCCTATAAATACTCCATTTGGGAGCCATGTGAAAGATTGAATTCTCAATATATGCATTAATTTCTCTCTCTAGCTCTCTCTTCTTTCTAAACAATAGTTCATCAAACAGTATTATAAAATAGCTTCGCTTGTGTTTTCTCTTTGAAACAGGAAAGACATGTGGAGCCATAAACGAAACAGCTCGAATTAAGGAAAGGGAGACACATCGGAGTGGAGGGTAATAATGTAATTTGAAGGGACGGTTAATTTCTTAAATACTTCTGTTCAAAAGTAATAACTACTACGTAATAGGTACCTTAGTCCTTAGGGTCTTTATTACCCAAAAAAATGACACATTATCATCACATTAATGACACATTATCATCACATTAATTATGATGTTTTTACTTGGACAGTTTTCAGTCCCAAATCAGACCAGATCAGACTTAAATGGATCAGATCATACCAAACCAGATCAAACTTAAATATACCAGACCAGACACAAACCAGACCAGACTTGACTTCCGTAAAATACACAAAGACCTGACGTTTACCAGACTAGACCATTTCAGACCTGACCAGACCAGATCGGAACAGACATAAACTGATTAGACCAGACGAACAAATTACATTCCAAATAAAAACATCCTTAATCTCCCAATGGTCTTGTGATGTGAACGGGAGCCTCAGGATGTTTTTACTTGGATTGTAATCTGTCTCAGACCAGAACAGGCTAGATCAGATCAGACCAGACTTAGCTAGTTATTAAAATATAAAGAAACCAGACCAGATCAGTTCAGACCAGTAAATTACGGTCCAAATAAAAACATCCTTACTAATCCGTAAGGGATAAGGGTCAGTTTGGTCCTCAAAGTTGCAAAAAAGGGGTCAAATAAGTCCTTATATAGAAAATTTTGTCCGGACGTGCCATTTGAGGTGGCTCCCGGTGGAATTTTTTGATTAAATTTTTTGAGCATCTTATTCATTAAGTCTAGTTTACTCATATCAAATTTTAGAAAAAAATTCAATCGGGAAGACATTCAAATCAATTCTTGAAGATAATTGTGCCGTTAAAAGCGCAGTTATTTTCAAGAATTCATTTGAATGTCTTCCCGATTGAATTTTTAGCTGAAATTTGGTATGCGTATACTAGACTTAATGAATAAGATGCTCAAAAAATTTCATCAAAAAATTCTACCGGGAGACACCTCAAATGGCACGTCTGGACAGAATCTTCTATATAAGGACTTATTTGACCCTTTTTTTTGCAACTTCGAGGATCAAACTGACCCTTTACTCTAATTTTTATGCACCTATGGCCTACCGTACGAATCTACGATAAGTATTGTGTAAAAAATACGGAGTATGACTAGTTAAAATAAAGATGTGAATGAACTAAAGCAAAAGAAAGAAAGAGATTGAGAGGCCGAATTACCAAATTGGTAAAAAAAAAAAGGTCATTGCAGAGATTGGTAAAAAAAATGGTCTAGTGACAAATTGGTCAATTTTTTGTAAGTGATAAATCTTCAATACTCGACTTTAGAATTTCGACTTTTCATATTCTAAGTATTGTGAAATTGATATTTTCAATTCTTTTACTTTGATTTTGTCATAAAAAATGGAAGTCTACAAATATCAACGGCCATGTTTGATAATAGCATTTGTCTGGTAGCTAATAGCCGGTTGAATCATAGATCAGCATATCGATAATAACGGATTCTGACATTCTGTTACCTTTTATAACTAACCGCTTTCATTAGTTTTTGAAATAAAATGTTAGTAACTTAATTGTTTGCAATTAAGGATATGTCCGGCAGAGGCTTTTCAGC